CGCTATCTAGGTACGCAAGTGCGTTATAAAATAATAATACTTACGTGGTAATACCTACATTGTGCTAATAACTAATAAAAATAAGTAATAATATTAAATATATTAAATTGTAATTATTGTACATTTGTACTCTCGTTTGTACCCATATAAAAAAATTTTGAAAAAAATCTATTTTGAACTTAATACCTATAGGTACCTACTTCAAAATTCAAATACTCTGTAGATAAATGTGTATTGTGTATGCATGAATAATAAGAAAAACAAAAACAATARGTTTAATTTTTAAAAACAAGAATTAAAGATATAATATATTATAATACATATTACTCAAGTAATGACCAATTTTGCAGATTTTTTCCTTTTCAAATTTAATTTTTTTTATTTTTATTTTCTATATTTGCAACTATCGCATCCTTGTTGTTATATAATACCTGACGATKAACATTAGTATTTCATTTTTATGTTCATCACATGGAAATGTTAATAAACCGGTATTATTTTCTATAAAATCATCTATTGTATTCCTAAATACACTAGACATAGTACAATACTTTGAGWAAGAATTTTCTATTGCCGATATAATATTGTGAAAATGTTCATTTGGGTGAATCAGTTTTCCTCTGGATTTCAAATTAGTAAAAGCGGCTTCAGATTTACTAGAGTAGACTTTTCCTAAAAATAAAAACTTATGTTATAATATTTAATTAAAAATCAATACCTTTTTGGGTACCTAGAATATGAATTACCTTCTAATGCATTTGCACATACATCACAATTTGTATGTTTTAATATATGCCGACACACAAAACCACTAATATAATAAATTACACAATCTGTAACTTCTGCTTTGTTAGGAGTACAATAATTGTGAATATCACTTTCAAAAACGTCTTCTGCTTCCCATTTACCTATCGTAGATAAGCATTCCATGTCGCTGTTGTGGACTTAACATTGCCAGCTTCTTTTTTAGGAGTTGAAAAAATTTCTCATCAAAACCACATTTTGTTTTTATGAGAAAAAGATATTTCCCAACTGTTCGTGTACATGGCAATGGCAATATATCTTATTCTCTCAGAAAGGTATAGGTAGAGGGAGATCTAAGAATATATTATGTAAGTGACAATTTATTAAAATTACCTATWATAATTAGTAAAAGTAGGCATAATAATATATTTTAGTTCTTACYGAATTTTCAATAAAATACATAATAAAATCCAATCTTCTGTATACCTTCTACTTTTGGGATTATGTACCTTACTTGTAGAAATTATTTCGTTAATAATTGTTTTATGAGACTCACTTAACTTATTCAGAACATTGCTAACAGCTGAGTCACTCATTTCTCTAGTTCTTTTGTGAATGTTGTTTAATT